TGGAAAAAGAAAAACTTTTCATTCAATCGTTTCAAGTATTATCCCTCCAGACACGGTATATGTTTTGTTGTGAATACTTCCTGACGAATAATGTAATACGACATGAAACATAACATTAAAAAAGTTTCAAAATTAGTTTAACTTGAATGAAAAGTTTAGTTGGCATGTATAACAAAGCTCCAGAATGTGCTGAGTGTATTAGTTTACTAGGAGTAAGAAGGGCACTGAAAAGGAGATAGAATGACCAAAAATATTATATTCACCATTTTACATTAAAAAGCATTTAAAAAAAAAAAACAGTTTTAAGTTAATTGTCTTGTAGCTTAAGAGGTGAGTCAGGTAAGAAACTGAAGAAGCTCATGATATGTATTTCCTTCCATGTAACTATTTTTACTAAGCTCAAATTCATGCAGAGAGTTAGAGTTGGCCATGAAGTCAGCTGCTTATACAATATTATTTGAAATAAAGCATGGTCTACTCTGTTTCTGTTCTTCTTGTATTAACTTTGTTTTTGGTTACTTGACTCCACGAAATCCTTGTTTACTGTGTAATTGTTATGTGAGTAAATAATAACTTTGTATGTAATGCAACACTGAAAGTCTAGCTTTTCAGTAATGCTCTAGAAATAAACTCATTGAGCCTCTGAACATCTCTTCTCCTACCTATTTCAAATTTTGGTTTTTAATTCTCTGAATCAACTTCCTATTTTGTCCACAGGGACCATGAAAACCAGAGCGGTGAAGTCACTTTCATTCTCTTGGGCTTCTCCAAAGAATTCTTCCAGTATTAACTTGGCTTTTCATTACTCAACTTCCACAAAATTCTTGTTCACTGTATAATTGTTATGGGAGTGAATACTAACTTTATAGGTAATAAAACAGTGAAAGTCTAACATTTTCAGCAATGCTCTTAATAGAGACCATTGAGCCCCTGGACATCTCTCTTCCCTATCTCAAATTTGGTGTTTTACTTTTCTGTATTAACTTCCTATTTTGTCCACAGGGACCATGAAAATCAGAGCGGTGAAGTCACTTTCATTCTCTTGGGCTTCTCCAAAGAATTCTTCCAGTATTAACTTGGCTTTTCATTACTCAACTTCCACAAAATTCTTGTTCACTGTATAATTGTTATGGGAGTGAATACTAACTTTATAGGTAATAAAACAGTGAAAGTCTAACATTTTCAGCAATGCTCTTAATAGAGACCATTGAGCCCCTGGACATCTCTCTTCCCTATCTCAAATTTGGTGTTTTACTTTTCTGTATTAACTTCCTATTTTGTCCACAGGGACCATGAAAATCAGAGCGGTGAAGTCACTTTCATTCTCTTGGGCTTCTCCAAAGAATTCTTCCAGTATTAACTTGGCTTTTCATTACTCAACTTCCACAAAATTCTTGTTCACTGTATAATTGTTATGGGAGTGAATACTAACTTTATAGGTAATAAAACAGTGAAAGTCTAACATTTTCAGCAATGCTCTTAATAGAGACCATTGAGCCCCTGGACATTTCTCTTCCCTATCTCAAATTTGGTGTTTTACTTTTCTGTATTAACTTCCTATTTTGTCCACAGGGACCATGAAAATCAGAGCGGTGAAGTCACTTTCATTCTCTTGGGCTTCTCCGAATATCCAGAACTCCAGGGGCCCCTGTTCCTGGTATTCCTGACCATCTACACGGTCACCGTGCTGGGGAACCTGGGCATGATCACGGTCATCCACATCAATCCCAAACTCCACACTCCCATGTACTTTTTTCTCAGCCACCTATCTTTCGTTGATTTCTGTTACTCTACAGCAGTTACACCCAAACTGTTAGAAAACTTGGTTGTGGAAGACAGAACCATCTCCTTCACAGGATGCATCATGCAATTTTTCGTTGCCTGCACATTTGTGGTGACAGAAACATTACTGTTGGCAGTGATGGCATACGACCGATTCGTGGCAGTCTGTAACCCTCTTCTATACACAGTAGTCATGTCTCAGAAGCTTTGTTCCCTGTTGGTGGGTGCATCATACTTGTGTGCTTTAGCCTATTCTTTAACATTCACATACTTTTTGTTGAAGTTATCATTTTGTGGGACTAACTTAATAAATAACTTTGTCTGTGAGCATGGTGCTATTGTTGCTGTTTCCTGCTCTGACCCCTACATCAGCCAGAAGATCTTTTTAGTCTGTGCCACATTCAATGAAATAAGCACCCTGCTGATCATTCTTACCTCCTATGTTTTCATTTTTATCACTGTCATGAAGATGCCTTCAACTGGGGGGCGTCACAAAGTCTTTTCCACATGTGCCTCCCACCTGACCGCCATCACCATCTTCCATGGGACCATCCTTTTTCTCTACTGTGTTCCTAACTCCAAAAGTTCCTGGCTCATGGTCAAGGTGGCCTCTGTCTTTTACACAGTGGTCATCCCCATGCTGAACCCACTGATCTACAGCCTCAGGAACAAAGATGTGAAGGAGACAGTTAAAAAATTAATCAATACTAAATATTTCTGTGATAAAATATAAAACTAGAAATCTGAGCTATTTCTCTTTGAAAGTACTGGTAAGGGTTGTTCAATAGCAAATCAAGACATTAATCTGTCGTAACCTTGCAATTTATAGTCCAAGATCCGTTCACTATAATATTTAGTAAGATAACTAAAATTATAAATAATATTAGGGATGAAATCTCAGACTACTTAAACTTAATTTTTGATTCAGAAATTGTAATATAAAAGTTTCTGTGTTATTATACATGATCGAGTGATTGCCCAGGTCAACTTTCAGTTCAGTCGAAATCATGTGAATTGTGGGTTTTTGAGATGATCTGAAGAGTTTTAGTTTACAATGTAGTAATTTTATAATTTATTTGTAGATTATTTTGGATATTCAACATGCATATTACACAATATTTAATTAATTATTTTCTGATTTTGTTCTTTCCAATATTATACTTTTTAATTGTTCTGTTAGTTTTGGTTAAGTAACTAAGAACTTCAGTGTAAATTTGAAGAAAGAATTAA